AGAGTGGATTTCCAGTCACTATGCACTGAAGTGCCTAAGGCAAGCAAGCCAGTGATATCCTTGTCCCCAATATCCACTGTGGGATTAGAGAGGGTTTCTGGATATCACCCAAAAGAATGTCCCACAAGATCTTAGATTTAGCAGCTTTCAACCAGGAAGCAGACTCAGGTGATGGAATCAGGCAGGAGTTCCTCCAGGTGACTGTCAGGCCATCATTGAACTCTACCCATTAAGGTGTACAGCAGCAGCAGCAGGGTCTTAGCGGCTCCAAGGGTCTGTCATACCTCGCCCTGGGCTGAAAATTCCTACACAGACTGGTTAAGGATGCAAGTAATACATAGGTTTGGCAGGCTGTGGCCCCGTTGGTTTTTAAGAACATTTAGACAATAGCCCAGGACAATTTACCAAAATAACTTTTTTTACTAACCAGATATTTTTGTAAATAGACACAGAAGGCTTAGTCTTGTAACCATCTCTGACAGATGCAGTCTCCACACTTGCACACCTGCAACTGTTAACACTGTTCTTTATGCCTTTTTCTAAAAAAAATTATTTTGCCTCATTTTTCCAAATTTGACTCTGGACTCATGATCTTAAAAGGGGGTTGATGGGCGAAGGTCCATCTTCTGTAACTTCTTCAAGCTGACTTCAGGGGTGTTGATCCTACCTAGCCAGGAACCTATAACCTTAGCCTATTTTACAAAGAGGCCATCAGGTTTAGATGTCATTAAGAACAATATTTTGACAACTGCACAGACGTTTTCTCCAGCTACAGCAGTATAGCTTGTTTAGCACTCCGGTTTGCAAAAGCATCTTTCTGGATGCAGGCCTTTAGACAGATATCAATAGAAACACACTCTCAGGTTTACAGACTTTTTCCTGAGAAGATGAATTTCATGTAGCTGGTGTCAGCTCAAAAGTTACTGCCAATTAGAGCTTTTGGCACATAAAGGGGTTAAGATTTAAACTGTCCCCCACATTTTATAACTTTAGCTTTTTACTATCACAGAGGACTGGCAAGTTCCTGTCCCTTACAAGGTAGTCATGAACATTAGGCATGCTTCCAAACTATATCTTCCTATGACCTCCCGGCTCTGACCAGTTTTGAAGGGCCACGCACAAATGACTCTAGGATCTGACATTTCTGCCATCCAAGCAGTGGCTTACTGCCTCTGGATGCTCCTCCATTGCTTTCGTCCCAGGAGTGTCTTCTCCACACTGGGATAAATGCCTCATTGGCATTTCCCTTTAGCTGGTTGCTGGACTCGAACTCGGGGCCTGAGCACTGTCCCTCAGCTCTACAGCTCAAGGCTAGCACTCTGCCACTTTGAGTCCCAAAGCATCTCTGCTTGCTCTTTCAGCACGCTGCTGGCTGAGTAGAGGTGACAGTCTCACAGGGACCTTTTTCTGCCCGGGCTGGCTTTGAACCAGATCAATGAGTCTTATAAAAGGCCACTTACTCCAATTAAAAGCAACAAGGTGGTCAACATAGAAGTAGCTTTTAAGCATGCACTTACCTGAAACTTATTAAGAGTCAAAGTTACATCTGACAAACTTGTAAGAATCCTCTGAGCTTTGCTCTGGACTCTGCTGGAAACTGTTAAAAAAAAAAAAAACCTATAAGAGCAAACTAGAATAGCAATTCTTTTGGTAATCCTAATTTTTCCTTTGTGCACTTTGAGGCAAATATTAAGAACAATTTTACTCTTAAACTTTATATCCAAAAATCCATTCCCTATTTTTTTAAGTCTCCTTTAATCTTCTTTTTAATATTGTATACTTTAGTTTTTAGTTGCATTTTAAAAAATCCCCTAAAATCTTGAGGCCAAGTGTCACTCATTGTCTCTTGGCTGCTTGTTTTAAAACAGATACACATAAAATTTTTAAACTCAAATGACAATTTTTCCTTAATGCAAAAATAACAATCATCATAACTGAACCAAAAAGCTAGACTTAGCGTCTTTATGACTTTTAAAAACATCCTAATTGTAAAACATTAAAAGAAAGTCACATTATACAAATAACTTTTTAACCCTCTTTTTAAGGGCTTCGTAATTTTAATGTTAACACATCCAAGGGGAAGTTGCTTTAGCAATACTAATCAGATCATCACATCACTCATTTTAACCGTCATGTTTTCAGTGTCTACCTGCAGGAAAAAGAGACAGAACAACGATGGGCCACTTGGCCCCTCCTATGGAATAGGCACACACCCAATCTGACTCTTTAGGGTTAGATGAACTGCGTTTGTGCCAGCTTGGCTTCTTTCACCATGCACGGACTCCTCCCAGGGCCTGTCCCACCATGCATGACCAGCTGAACTGCACTTCTGCTTGTTCACCCCTTACCCCTAAAGATAGGTCTTCTGTTGGCTTCTAAGTTTTTCCCCCTGTCTCTTCTCTTGGTTCTCGAGTGAAATATACAGTTTTAGACAGACAGAACAGGTAACATCTTTGACAGTGTTAAACTAACCTTTACATTTAAATTTCTAATATTTATCCCCAAATTTTAGCCAAGGGAATTAAATCCCAAACTGCCAACGCATTTTTGTTAAGCCAGATGACTTGATTACAGTATAAACAGTCTTATGCATTTTAAAATATTAATTTTTAAAATACCAGATTTTCTATTTTTCGAGTTAAAGAACCTTTAAAAAGTCATTTAAAACACTATGAAGATTCTTTAAAATTTTTGGTAATGTCCAAACCTCATAATCTTTTGAATTTTAAATTTAAACTCACCCAATTGTTACAGCATGCTGACAATTCTTATCTTTGAACATGTTCACAAACACACACAAAACACTCACACACATCTTAAAGCGTGCAAAAATCAAAATCAGTTGTATGTACACTTTCTAAAGGTTTTAAACAAAAATTTAAGACAGTATTTCTTTTAAACTAGGTATCTTTGTTGGGCTTCATTTTCCCAGAGCTTGCTTGTTAGCAAGGCAATTCACTAATTAGTCTTTTGAATCTCTTCTGAGTTGGAGGAGGGCTGAGGGAGGGAGTCACCTAAAACTAAACTGGCCTGATTTATTTATTTTTTTTACCCAATTTTAGACAGAACTAACTGAAAAGCCCAAACCAGGCACACAGCCTTCTACACCCTCGCCTCTCCTCCAGCAGCCTCCACTAGGAGAAGGTGCAGCCTGAGGCTTGTCCATGCCTGCCTCTTGGCTGCTGTAACACAAGGGGGGGACTTAGCAGTTTTGTGACCAAGCCCAGTGGGGGGCTGAAACTTTTATTCCCCCAGAGATGTTCAAATAAATAACAAAAACACAGATAAACACAAAAACCAAGGATCCACATTTAAAACTGGTACCAATTCTAAAACAGAACTAGACAACAACCAAAGGCTGAGTTGGGGACTAATGGGACCCAGTTTATCCCTACCAGAACTCTGTGCTGCTCCCATTCAGTAAGCTGAATGAGTCTGCTGAGTGAGCCTGCCACACTCACCCAAAACTTTCCTACCTCAGAAAACATAAAACAAATACACACACTAAAGTAAACAATACAAACAAGTGGCCACAAAGACAAAATCAGGTCTCAGTGAATGGGGCGACATCTCACCACTTACCAGGGGACTCAAACCCCCTCTACTCATTCCAGAGAATTTTTTTTTTTAGATTCTTCTGAGATTTCCAATTATATTCAAATTATACCCCCTCTCTTTTACCTCTTTGAAATGACCAAGCAGGAGGTTGAGAGGAGTAAGCTTGCTTGCTCGCCCTATCTCTGCAACAAGGAGTGTCCAAATTAATAAAACTGAGATAAGAAAGAAAAAGAAGTTAAAATTACACACACACATGCCGCATACGGGGATTGGGAATGTACACGCACTTGGTCACGCTTTCTCTGGGGGGCGGGGGGCGGGGGCGCGATCTGGTCCGGGCACTCCTGGAATTCCAAAAAAGGTGGATGGGGCAATTAAGCGGGAAATGCATGCTGTTTCTCCGGTCTAGGGGATCAGTAAGCCCCTCATCCACTGGCCCCAGGGCTGCGTGTCTAAGATTCAAATTAGAGTTAACAGAAGACATATATGCACACTCAAGACAAACAGCAAGCGTGTCAGACTGCTGGTCAGTCTGCCCAGAAGGGCTTCCAACCAGAGAGAATCGGCCAATCACGGAGACTTGAATCCCCTCTACCCAATCTCGAGGACAGCCCACCCAGGGGTCCAGGGGACGTCTCCCACTGGCCCCGCTGGCAGTCTTATAGTGTGTCCGCCAAGACTCTCTGCCAGCCCCAAGACCATACCTGCAGGCTTTCACCATTCCTGAAATGTGAAAGTGGCGCCACCAAAAACTCACCGATCGGTTCCTTCGGCTCTCTGATCAGGCATCTGGGTGGGCTTGGGGGGCATCCCGGACGAGCCCCCAAGCTGTTATACCGAAATTCGGGGACCCCCAGAAGACCACCAGAGACCATGATCAATGTAAGGAACAAAGAGCCGGTTTATTGCAAGCGCGAGCTTGGTCCTCCGCACACATGGTAACTGGTGACGCTAAGAGGCCCTGAGCATAGAATCAGTGCAGTTTTTATAGTATTGAACAAACAACTTTAAGGAACTTTTACATAAGAAATTACATGATTGGTTAACATTTACATTTAAAGTAAGCTAAACTGGGCAAATAATGATTGGTCAATCTTTACAGAAAAAATGTCCTTGGTCCATAGCTTGACCGGAAAAGGTTACGAGTCACACCCAGACCAACAGAATACATGGCATGTCTTGCCCCGGGCTCTGAAGAATGGGTTGGTTAGAAACTCTTAGTCCTCGGTGGGTGGGGAGCAACACCACTTGGGGGCTAACACCTGACTTAAGCAAACGCCCATCTATGGCTCCAAGAATTGTGCATGGCTTTTTGTCATAAATTCCTAGCATTGGGGCTAAAATGGATCACGAGTCAAGTTGCAGAACTGAGATGGAGTGTTAAACAAAAATGGAGTTGCTTAGATTTCTTAAAACATTATATTTCTTCCCTAGGGCCTTACTGCCTCGGCCTTCAGGAGGGGCTTTGTAGCTGTGGGGATAATTCTGAGGACTTTGCCCCATTAGTCAGGGCTGTAAACCCTTTGAAGTCTTTTACTAAGCAACTCTAGGCTCCCAGGCTGACATTCCACTACTGAGTAACTAAAACCAGCCAGTTAAAATCATACAAAAACCATACAACCATCTAGCACAAAGCAATTCATACAGAAGCAAAAATGGGTGTTAGGTGCTATCATATATATATATATATATATATATA